CAAAAGTTCTTAACTTTAACTAGTATATTAATCATCTAGATATTATAAAAGTAAAAAAAAAAAACAATACTAACTTTGAAAAAAAAAAAAACAAGACGTGGAAAAGGAAGAGGGTCGAACTGAGAGAGAGAAACGAAAAAACAACAAAGAAAAAAAAAAACAACAACAAAAATTTTTTATAGATTATCAAATTACGTAAACAAAATCTCATTATATTATAATCATAATTATCATTAAAGTAAAAAATAAAATTTCATATTTGATTTTGGTATCAAACCAACAAGCCCCAATGGCGTTTGAATTGGGTGGGTGAGGCTAAGCATCAGTTTGCACGAACACACAGTAGAGAAAAACTACTGAAATTAGATGTGATTGCCGATTTGTGTCAGGCAAAATTTGGCTAAAAGTCAGATTTTCATCAATCGATGCGGCCCAGGTGAATCGCATCACATACTTTTTTGTTATTTTGACTTTTTTTTTCTTATCCCATAATTTATTTTATCACAATTCCTAATTTGGAACATATAAAAATTTTATTCTAATTTTTTTATATTAACCTTAATCTATATTTTTTACCGATTAGAAATTTAAATCAATACAATTACTAATAAAGTAATTTTATTATCTACAACAAATTTCTAAATCAAATATTTCAAATTAGGCAATAAAAATTGAAAAAGTTGTTTGTCGATCCTACATAAATACTTAAATTACCATGTATAATTAATAAAGTAAAAATAAAATAGACATATATTTTGTTGATCCATATATAAATATTAAAATAAAATTAGATTATCAATATATTTACCAATCTGTTTATAAATATTAAAATAAAATAAAGTAAAATTAGACTACTAATATATTTGCTAATCTATATATAAATATTAAAATAAAATTAGACTACCAATATATATTTTGTCGATCCATGTATAAAATAATAAAATAAATAACAACGTATATTTTTGTAATAAAAAAATAATAATATATATTTTGTCAATTATATATACTATATTAAATTTAAATTAGGGAATAGGTTTTCAAAAAAGTTTGAATAGTTTGGCTGTTCATGAATAGGTTTTCGGCAAAGTTTGAATACTTTGAATACTTCCAAACCATTATTGATGAATAAGATTCGAGAATTTTAAACTATCAAATTATATTACATATGTAATTCAATTGAAGAAAGTTCTAGCAATTTTTTTATCAATAAAAAATGAGCGAAAAACCTTCTCTCTCCTCACAATTCATTCGTTTAAAACCTTTTGTATATTCATAAAATTGTTATCCAAACTTATTTTTATTCACAAAAATTCTCTACAATTATCAAACAAAAATGCGTTTCTTTTATTTAATCGTTGCTATTATTGTTCTTTTCAGGTTAATTTTAGTAAACAATATAGAAAAATTTAACATCTTAATATATATTTTTGAAATTATTTATTCAAAAGAATTTTTTTTCTTCAGAATGACAATATATTTAATATTTATTATATTTAATATCTGTTTCTGGTATTATTTAATAAAAACTTATCCAGAGCGATATATATATTAATTTTGTAAGTTGGTGAAGTTCAATCTTACTTGTATTTGTAAATTCGAATTACGCTGTCATAGAGTTATAGGAATATATTCTGAATGCTGCTATGATGAGGATATATTTTATTATTTCTCGAGAAACTGTTATCAGAATTGAAGTTATATCTTTGAGATGTCGGTACTGCAAACATTGATGAAGAGAATTTTTGTACTAATATTTTTATTTTATTTTATTTATTTAGATAAAAATAATTTATACAAGCAAGAAAAAACTACCTTTACAAGAAAAACTACCACTAAAAATACTAGTAAGTAAATAATTTAATATATTAAATATTTTTTTGCGTATTCGTATAAATCATCTAAATCTAATAGATAAAAATGATTTTTAAAAACTTTGTTGAATACATTATTTACAGATTGCTCAAAATCCTCTTAATATTGAGAAACCCTCCATTCCCAACACCATTCATCATATTGATTTTTTATATGTCTTCTTTCTTTTAAAAGTAATTTAGCCCAAGTACAAACATGAGCTTTGAAAAAACCAACCCAAGTTGATAGTTCTTTATATAATTCTTCTTCTTTATTTCGAACTGCTTCTTGATATTCATCATATTTTGTATAAAAATTTAAATATAATACAGAAAATCGTTCTTCTTCAATAAATTGTTCTTCAAATTTAGCTGTTGATAAGGGGAAGTCTTCTTCTTTATCGTCGGTTAAATTTGACGAATAATTGTTCTACTTGATATCTTCTTGAAAACAATCTTTTCACTCATCTTCTTCAAATATTTTTTTTGTTTTTTTGAATATAGTTTTAATTTTTTTAATAATGTTTTTAATAAAAGTCATTTTATAAAAATTTTTTGTCAAGTATTTTTTTGTCGTAAAAAATTTTCAGGCGATTAAATAAAAATTTCTTATCAAAATTAATTTTTCTAATTCATGTAATTTAATTCTCATGATCAATACGTGACCAATAACAAATTATTGATTTTTAGTATCAAAATCTATCAAGTTTTTAACTTGCTTGAAATTCTTAATGATAAAATTATAGTAAACCAATCATTTTTTAAGTTTTTCGATTTCTTCTTCCTGAGTTTTCACAAGTTTATGTAATCTTTTTATTTCCAAATCTTTTAATTTTGGTTTGTAAATTATACAATCAATATTTTTTTTTGTACATACATCACATTTTTTAGAATCTTGCGTAGAAAAACACATGTTCTGTGAATTTCTCTGCAGAATGTACAACATGTTTTTTTTGTTCGTGTTTTTTCTTCTTTTATTTTTTTTTACACATTTTTTTAATTATTACGTATTTTTCCTCTATTTATATACATTTTATCATATCAAACATCTGTTTTACAAAATAATGTATGTTTAAATTTAATTGTTTTCACAATTTAAATTTAATTTTTTTTATTTTATATTTATTTTAATCGTTTTTGTTCGTAAACAACATGTATAATACATTTTTAATATTAATTATCGACTTTTTATTTTTGTATTTTTTACACGTAATTTTTATAAATTTTATCTATTTTTTTATA